GAAAGTTTCTTCTTGCTTTCCTACACTGATATCCAAACCAAGAGCTATTGTTATTTACTACTTTATTGTTGTTTTTTTATTTTATAGCCAAATGCTTCCTCAGAAGTTTTAAGAAATAGTGAGGACATATCTGTAACTAAATCATCTGCATTTTGCTGATTAAAATTGTCGCTATTTTTCAAAATGTCAAGTTTTTTCATTTAATTCCTCTATAAGATTTATGTCAAATTTCTGTAAAAAGCTTTCACTTTTCTTATTGTCCCATAATTTAATAGATGGTTCAGTATTATTAACATGTTCAACAATTTCAATTTGGTTTGTATTCAATGTTAAAACAATAGGATTATGTGCATCTGATAAAATGGGACAAAAATCTTTAACAGTAAGATCGAGAACATTTTTAAACAGATTTGAATTACATATAAAATAATCGACGGTACTGGTACCTTTACAAGTAGTACTTCCGGTGTAATCGCCAGAAGTTCGACCATTTAATATATACATATTATTTAATTGTAAAAAGTCAATAAATCTATTACCGTAACTGTTAATATGTTTATCGGTGTTATAACGTAATAGCTTTACATTTTGTGCATTTTGAAATTTACTCATTTCAGTATCAAATTCATCGCAAAGAACGTTTAAGTTTTGGTTTTCCAAAAAACGTCTATCTACTTTAATAAAATCTTCAGTTGATTTTGTACGTGAATTGAAATCTCCAAACAGTATATACGATGAGTAATTGTCCGATAGGCGATTGAAATCGTCTTGAATTTCGGAAAAAGGATCGTCAACTGCATAGTCCGAGTATTCGGGTGGTATATACACAACACCACAGAAATGTCTGTTTCAGATTTGCATAAAAGATTAGATATCTTAAACCATAATACAAGATCATTATCAGAATCGATGACTGTAACAAATTTGGATAGATTTTTTTTAACTGCTAGAGCTAGACCGCCAGACTTTCTCCTGGTATTTCTTTTTCGATATTTGAAGTATACATCATAATTTTGTATTTCAATATGATCCAAATTATCAGCTTTAATTTCTTGAAAACCAATTATACTGTGATCATTCACCAACTCGTTAAATTCGGGGCAATGCAATTTTGATTTAAGTCCGCAAACGTTTAAGGATAAAATCTTAATATTGTTGAGTGCCAAGGATGATGTCTCAGTTTTACGACTGTCGGAATTAGCTATCGCGGTAAAGGAAGAATTTAAGTCGTCTGCATTTTCATATTGGCTTAAGTTGCACGAAGAATTTGTTTGTATGTTATTATTATTATCATTATTATTATCATTATTATTATTATTATTATTATCATAATTATTATTATTATTATTATTATTATTATTATTATTGTTATTCGAGTTTAAGATTCTATCATTCTGACAAACATTTTCATTTAAATAAGTTTGGTCTGTCACAGAAATTGCCGCTTTGTGTAAATTTTCAAAAACTAAGCAAAGATTACCGGAAGTTGTAAAAATGGAAAACAAACAGCTATAAAAAACAAGATAGTACCAAGTACTAAACCAAACAATAAAATTAAAATGCAATCATTTTTCATAACTTTGGTATCTAAATGACCGGAATGCATTCGGTTTTATGAAACTGTGAAGAAATATTTAAAAGAAATATATTTTCCTTGTTAAAATGCAATTATCCCGACCGTGCGTTTTCACTGTCCTTAAGTATAATAGAAGTGAGCTTTGTAAATCAGCAGTGTATTGGCTAACGTGTTAATTATTAAATGATGATCATGAATAGAAAAATATATTGATGTAATTCCATTTTTTATACATTTGTTAATCCTCATTTAACTGAGGGCTTACCGGATACTTCGAAATTATGTTGTTCAAGATGACGCAATATGAAGAAATAAACAAAATTCTGTTCTGTTTCCTGTCGACATTTCTTTTGGGACATATTTTTCAGCCGTTGGCTGTTTGTTTTAACTTGATTTCCGGTAAATTACAATTGGAACACCTCGATGCCATTTCTAATAACAAAAATATGATGAATTCTGAAAATAAAAAAGTGTAAATAAACAAAGTGGTGCCGTGCCGGTTATAGTTAGTTATTAGTTGAGTTGCTGAATCGGAAGGATATAAGATATAATGAATTTTGAAAATAAAATAGCTTTTATTTTTGGTTGTTATAAATTGAAAGATATAAGCATTAAAATGCAAGTTTTAGGACATTTTATTGAAATTGCTAGTTCGAATAGCGTTGTCTTTGTCACGTTTCATATTTCATTCACCTAGTTTTGACTGTAAATGAAACCACAGGAAAAATCCAGTTTTGTGAGTTACAATGATAATCTTTACAAAAATCAATTTGTAGGCCACACGTGAGTTACAATGATAATCTGTACAAACCATACATTTGAAAGCCACCCGTGAGTTACAATGGTAGTCATTTCAAATGATCCATTTTAGGCCATCTGTGAGTTACAATGGTTATCTGTTCAATTAATCCATTTTAGGCCATCTATGAGTTACAATGGTAATCTGTTCAAGGAATCCATTTTAGGCCATCTATGAGTTACAATGGTAATCTCTTCAAAGAATCCATTTGTAGGCCACCTGTGAGGTACAGTGTGGTCGTTCAAGGAATCCATTTGTAGGCTATCTGTGAGTTGCAAAGATAATATGTTTAAAGAATCCAGCTTTGTCGGACAAACATACGGATATTACTTTCTTGCATAGCAGACTGGCGTTTCCGTGTGTTTTACCCATGCCGGAAATTTCATCTGGCATGGGGGTGCCAGATGAGTCGCGTGCTGTACAATAGCACGCTTAGGATGACGTCATTTTACCGATATGAATGAAGTTGTTATTCATACACTGTTGTAAGAAAGTAATTACGGTTGTAATGATATAAATTTCCATTGAAAATAAAGATAAAGAATTTAATGGGATATGGTAGAATATGCAAGAAAAAATATATGACATATGTTTGCGGTTCGGATCGGAATATCCGTCCCTCGGTCACCCGCCCATGGGCGGGTCACCTCGGACCGGATATTTCGATCCGAACCGCAAAATATGACATATATTATTATCACTGACTGCCCGAATGTTAGCTAATAATACCAGTATTATCAATCTAAGAAATCACTTAGCACTATTAAGGCGGTGAAGAGGGTGACTGGAAATTGTAGAACAAATGAAAGAACTTACAGGGTGTTTCATAATATGTGATACACTTTAATCAAATGTTTCGTTTATGTAAGAATGTCAGTAATAATGAAAATGTACCATATTAAAGGGAAATGCTGTCAATTTATAAAAGTGTAGTTTGTTCCTTATTTAACCTACCAATACTATTTTTAGCTACGCTTGAAAACAGGGTCCATTTATAGCATATACTCAAAATGACGTACATTATAGCATCGCGCCATCTCCACACGTTTCATGAAGTTTTCCATCACATTATTGCACATGTCACCAGTAATATTTCTTATTTCACATCTTATGGACTGTTTAAGCTGATCTGTTGTATTTGGCTGCACTTTGTAGACTCTTTCCTTGAGATAGCCCCAAAGAAAAAAGAATCCAAAGGACTGAGATCCGGAGAGTGGGGCGGCCAAGTGCATTCCGTCTTCAGAGTGATAAATCGTTTGTCAAACATTTTTAAGCCATTCAAGAACTCTCTGGGCCGTGTGTGGAGCGGCACTATCTTGTTGTAACCATGTTTGTGTCATATCAACCCCTTTCCGACGGAATGCAGACAGAAACTTGTATTTTAGAAGAGACAAATAGCGGTCACTGTTGATTGTCTCGGTATTTCAGTCTTGGTCTTGGAAAAAAATGGCACTGGTTATGGTGCCTCTGATCAAGTACACTTCCATGCTGCTCAAATCTTTTAACTACTCTGCTTACTTGTAGCCTGGTCACCACTCTATCGGCAGGGTACATTTTCCTCATTCTTCTAGTTACAGTTATGATAGAATAGTGTTCATAGTACAATTTTATGATATCTTGCCACTTTTCCATGGACAACGCCATTTTGAAAACAACCAGATGATAATGACGTCATAAATGACGTCTTGATGTTAATGTTTTCCAGTATTTTACGTCGCATTCAAAATGGTGAAGTGTGTAGTTTATTTTGGTACAAGCATTTTGTTTGTATCTATAAAATCAGTAAAGCAACAATTTTTTGAAAGTGTATCACATATTATGAAACACCCTGTACGAGCAATGTTATCTGTTTTAATGAACATGTTGTTATCAGTTTTTAGAGATCAGTTGCATCCACAATGTCATTCTGTATGTTCACATATGTTAAATAAGACCCCAAGAAATGAAACTAGCAATTTCTAACATACAAACATTTGGAACACCTCGTCGGTAACTAGTAACTATCTTGGAAACAAGAAGGATTGGAAAACTTTTTCCGAGTGACTTTTGGAATAGATCATTAACAGAGGAACCTATGTTACCTCTTGGGAAATACGGCATAATTCAAAAATATTATGACTGACAAAAATCTCCGACAATCAGAATCAATTGTGAAATAATACATGACATACGATTATATGAGTATCCAAAAGCTGTAGATATGTCATTAATTAATATATAATAATCAGCAAATAAATACCATTTTTACATATTCCAATTAACGTTAGATAAGTAAAATTCAACTCAATATCGTAAAATAAAATGATTCAACAATTTCTGGCAATTGCTTATTTCTTCTTTCCCCAATCGTAAATTCTCGGTCCTTTCAGTCAAACTTCGGATAAGCTATTATATATAATAGCCCAGATGTTCCGATTGCTTTTTTTCATGTTTATTTAACAGAAACACCATATCCGGTCAGTGAAATATTACTCTTGTGTTTAGGCCCATTAATTAGAATTATCATTTCAATGTCTCCCCATAGACACACAGTTATGCCATTGACATAATTAATCAACTGCTTTGCAAAACTTGCCACTTTGTTTTCATTGATTATAAACAATGAATTACTATTAACAATGCCTTATTGTCTTTACGAGTCACGCATGATGTCACTTTTCAAAAGAAAAGACATACCTGTTAATTAATATATTACTTTTATAATCATTGTAACATTGTCTGAGGACTTTAAAAGAAGTGTTGTCTCAAAGTGAAATTGTTTGTATCTACTATTTAAAGGTATGTTTAGACGTTTGTCAAATCTCTCCAAATTTACTGATGATAATTTCTCGCCTTTGTTTTAAAGCTAGTTTTTTGGGGCAATTTGATAGAATAAATAAGCGCTTCGAACACTTTCTGTAAATATTTGAAAGTTATCCGACAGTTTAATAAAGAAGTCAATAAAGTGATAATTAAACTTCACTTAAATGTCGAGTTTTATTTTCAGAAAGGTAAACAATTTTGGAAGCGGGATACATATATTTTGTATTTATAAAGGAGACAGAACTAATGAAATTGAAACTATAAAATTTGCTTGCCTGTGAATAGACTTAAAAACGAACAACAACTTCAATAATAATAGTGGGATTAGGAGGAAGAATATGGGGAGTAGAATGGGTTGGGGAATAGAAAAGGAGGGGAGAAATAGAGGTGGGGCAAGCATTAGAAGCAGTAGAAATCAGTGGCTGTAGAAGTAAAATATTTAAGTACAAAAAAATATCATATTGTGTTGTAGGTGGGGATTCAGCAGAATTGGTAAGTGGCTGAAGTAGTAGAATATTTTAACAAAAACCAATATATCGTATTCAATAATAAACATTTATTAATTTTCAGTTACTTAAAAATGGGAAAAGGTATAGGGACTGGTGATGGTGTCGGTAGAGGGTCCGGACATTATAAAGGAAAGAGTGATCGGATAGCGGTACCAGCGATGCCATTACCTATGGCTCTCATTTGTTGTGTACTTAACTTCCTGATTCCAGGTTTGGGTAAGCATTATCTTACGCAGTGTCATCTTAAGTATGACCTGGTGTCAGTCAATACATTTTAATAGTTTCTCAAACTTATAAAAATTGCTTTTTTTATAATCGAATCCATTTGACGTAAAATGGACAGTTTGACCAATTCGATGCAGGACAAGCTAGCTCAGCAAACTTAGCCGAGAATAAGCTGGAGAGTTTGATATTGTTGACATGTTGCCGCTTTAGCCGAGTAAAGGCTGAAGAATTAAATATTGTTGAAAAGTTTGTGTGTTTTCACTTCATAGCTCGAGTTTTTATTTTATTTAGTCATTCAAAATAAATTGAAATAATTCAATATGAATACACAATGTATACCACAGGACAAAATCATAATAAAGACAATTATGAACTTAAGTTACATGAACACTTATTATAAAAATTAAAGCTTGTGCATGTTTATTTCATATTGTTTATTACTAAGTTTGTCCACAGGACGAAATCATAATAAAGACAATTATGAACTTAAGTTAAATGAACACTTATTATAAAAATTAAAGTTTGTGCATGTTTATTTCATATTGTATATTAATAAGTATGTCCTTTAACTTGTACTTAAAGGTACCGCTATTGCTGGATTAAGCGCTTTTTGCTGTTCAAGAAATGAAGATATGGACGGCCTGGATAGGTTGTTTAGCTGTGGTGTCAATGTTGGTATAGAGACAAGTCTTGAAATGATTGAAGCTGCTAAAATGATTTATCTTATTAATACACTAGATTTAAGAAAAAATCTGTAATGTTTCTTATTCTGATATACCATACTGTCACCTTGCGCAGTAACGGTTCACTCTTATTATAGTTATAGGAGTGTTAACTAGTTACTTGCATTTACTAAGGTGAGCATATGTGCATGCCAAGAAAATTTGGGAATCTCAAAACCCCTATCTCGTAAATATTCTCAAGCAATAGATCTAATTATCAGTATATAAATAAGATTATTGTTTGGTATTTAGTGTTGTGAAACTACATTCTTATTTGTAGGATCAGTATTCAATATTATTCCATGTTTCTAACCATGTTAGAAGAGGAAGTGTACGGTGATGGTTCGCCTATCTGGGATACCGAGTTTTCTCAGGCCAATGTTAATAACACAGGTGCTAATTCAGGTAAGTATTAGCCAAACTGAAATGAATTGAGCTGCGTCACGACAAAATGAACATAATTGGTTTGCGACCAGAGCCTGCGCATCATTACTAGTATAGGATAAAAATACGATATGGATTGTAATATGTTGATTGTAACCGAAAACAACAATTTTAAAGTTTAACACGTCTTCTTATATACAAGTACATTGTAGCTTTTGATTATTTGATTTTCTTTCTTGATATTTAAATTTAAAACTATATTTTTAACACTTTTTATCTAATTAATTATTAAACAAAATGTTAAACACGAAGTGTGTAAGTATCATACTTGTGTAAAATTCATGCATGGCTGTTGGCTGTCACCATTCAGAACAGTCAGCAACTCAGCCGATGCCAATCCACTGGGCTTCATATGATAAGTGTAATTTTTGTTATAATTGTATAATTTGGACCAAAATTTTTCTGCAAATTGGAGGTATTGGAATTACAAACTTCAAATAATACCTTTAAATTTATGTTAATATACATAGTGATGAGAAACAGTACCGTGCCTACACCTTGGATAATTTCTAAATTTCAAAAAGAAGGTCATCAAAAAACCAGGGTTTAACTATATAGAACTTATATAATATCATTTCTTTATTTGTTTTCTAGGTTTGAGATGCCAGTTCAGTCGCCAGCTCTGAGAAATCAGATGACAAAAATTGCACACCTGTCGCTTTGCGTAGATCGTCGAGAAATGAAGCATTGGCAGGTTTGTACAGTGGTATGTCATTTTAACTCTTCTTATATATTGTGACAGTTTTTGTGTCGCCTCTACGGAGTAGTGGCGACATATAGGGATCACTTCTCCATCGTCTGTCTGTCCGTCTGTCCGTCTGTCCGTCCGTCCGTCACAAAACTTGTCCGGACTACTCCTCATAAACTACTGGTGCAATTTCATCCAAACTTTACAGGAATGATCAATACCAAGTCTAGTTGTGCATATTGTCAGCATTTTCCGGTTCAGTGATTTATGTCAGGGTTATGGCCCTTAAATAATTTTTAATTTTAAAGTTTGTCCGGACTACTTCTCTTATACCACTAATGCAATTTCAATGAAACTTTACAAGATTGAGCTGTAGCTCAAGTCCTTGGGCATATTGCAAGGGTTTTCCGGTTGAATGATTTTTGGCCGAGTTATTGCCCTTTGATAAAAAGGTTTCTTTTTCTGTGTGTTGCCAGATACACAAAAGCTTGTCCGGACTACTCCTCATAAACTACAGCTGCAATTTCATCCAAACTTTACAGGAATGATCAGTACCAAGTCTAGTTGTGCATATTGTCAGCATTTTCCGGTTCAATGATTTTTGTTTGAGTTATGGCCCTTTAATAATTTTTATTTTTAAAGTTTGTCCGGACTACTTCTCTTATACCACTAATGCAATTTCGATGAAACTTTACAGGATTGATATGTAGCTCAAGTCCTTGCGCATATTGCACGGGTTTTCCGGTTGAATGATTTTGGCTGAGTTATGGCCCTTTGATAAAAAGGTGTGTTTTTTCTGTGTGTTACCAGGTACACAAAAGCTTGTCCGGACTACTCTTCATAAACTTCTGGTGCAATTTTATCCAAACTTTACAGGAATGATCAGTACCAAGTCTAGTTATGCACTGTCCGTCTATCTGTCTGTCACAAAATTTGTCCCAACATGAAATTGGCCATAATGAGGCGACACATGTGATTACTGATCGCTCTTGTATTGATTCACAAAAATGGTTGTTTAATAAATGAATATAGGTCAGAAGACTTGAATGTTAGAATTAATTATTATTACATAAACCACAGCGGAGGAATGTAAAAAAAGCCTTTTGATAAAAATAATATTACACTTGTGCAATGACACTTTTGCTTTCCATACAAATATAGCGTAAAAGCGGCCTAATTTTTTAGCGTTTCACTGTAGGCGTGTCAATGAAAAATGACTCTTTTTAACAGTTTCCCGTTATTATTTTAGAAATGTGATAAATGAAATAATATATTCATACTGAATTTATTGATTTTGTTGAATTATAAAAAATATGCTCTCCAGCTCAGGCTCGCATGATGCGATTTTATTTAGCTTGTTAAATAAATTTAGTAAATTTATTAAATTTAAACTCATTCAATATCCTCTGTATGGAATATGATTTAACACTTGAATTCCTATGCTCACCTCCACCCTTCTGAATTTTTACACTGGACTTGTCCTACTCTGATTTTGTAAAATGGACTTGTCCTACTCTGAATTTGTCAAATGGACTTGTCCCACTTTAAATTTGTAAAATGGACTTGTCCCACTTTGAATTTGTTAATTGACTTTTACTACTCTGTATTTGTAAAATGAACTTGTCCCACTCTGAATTTGTAAAATGGACTTGTCCCACTCTGAATTTGTAAAATGGACTTGTCCTACTCTCAATTGGTAAAATGGACTTGTCCTACTCTGAATTTGTTAAATGGACTTGTCCAATTTTGAATTTGTAAATGGACTTTTTCTACTCTGTATTTGTAAAATGAACTTGTCCCACTCTGAATTTGTAAAATGGACTTGTCCCACTCTGAATTGGTAAAATGGACTAGTCCTACTCTAAATTTGTAAAATGGACTTGTCATACTCTGAATTTGTTAATGGACTTGTCCCACTTTGAATTTGTAAATGGACTTTTTCTACTCTGTATTTGTAAAATGAACTTGTCCCACTCTGAATTTGTAAAATGGACTTGTCCCACTCTGAATTTGTAAAATGGACTAGTCCTACTCTAAATTTGTAAAATGGACTTGTCATACTCTGAATTTGTTAATGGACTTGTCCCACTTTGAATTTGTAAATTGACTTTTTCTACTCTGTATTTGTAAAATGAACTTGTCCCACTCTGAATTTGTAAAATGGACTTGTCCCATTCTGAATTTGTAAAATGAACTTGTCCCACTCTGAATTTGTAAAATGAACTAGTCCTACTCTTAATTTGTAAAATGAACTTGTCCTACTCTGAATTTGTTAATGGACTTGGTCCACTTTGAATTTGTAAATGGACTTTTTCTACTCTGTATTTGTAAAATGAACTTGTCCCACTCTGAATTTGTAAAATGGAGTTGTCTCACTATGAATTTGTAAAATGGACTAGTCCTACTCTGAATTTGTAAAATGGACTTGTCCCACTCTGAATTTGTAAAATGGACTTTTCCTACTCTGAATTTGTTAAATGGACTTGTACAACTTTGAATTTGTAAATCGACTTTTTCTACTCTGTATTTGTAAAATGAACTTGTCCCACTCTGAATTTGTAAAATGGACTTGTCCCACTCTGAATTTGTAAAATGGACTTGTCCTACTCTGAGTTTGTTACATGGACTTGTCCCATTTTGAATTTGTAAATGGACTTTTTCTACTCTGTATTTGTAAAATGAACTTGTCCCACTCTGAATTTGTAAAATGGACTTGTCCCACTCTGAATTTGTAAAATGGACTAGTCCTACTCTGAATTTGTAAAATGAACTTGTCCCACTCTGAATTTGTAAAATGAACTTGTCCCACTTCGAATTTGTAAAATGGACTAGTCCTACTCTGAATTTGTAAAATGGATTTGTCCTACTCTGAATTTGTTAAATGGGCTTGTCCTACTCTGTATTTGTAAAATGGACTTGTCCAAATTTGAATTTGTAAAATGGACTTGTCCCACTTTAAATTTGCAAAATGGACTTGTCCCACTTCGAATTTGTAAAATGGACTTGTCCTACTCTGCATTTGGAACTGTCCATTGTTATTTTAAGGGATTTTTATATCAAAATTGTGAAATTAGGCATCCATCAGTATAGAACCTATGTCAAACAGTATTTTGTGACTTTACTAATGTGACTTGATAACAGATTTTGATTACAATAGAAATTGATAAATCCCTGTGAAAGATAATGTATTATGCAGCTGATAAAAAATATACCCTATATGTAACCAAAGGGTTTATTTTTTCTTGATAGAGAAGAGAAAGTTAGAGGAAGTTTTAGTGCCAGAAGAAGTTAAAAAGCCTAAGATTGACGGAGATGTTCCCATGGATCTTATACAAGAGATTGTAGCCACGATCAATGATCCAGAGGAGATGGTCGGGCCAGATGTGAGTTACTTAAAGGCACATTAATTTATGCCTCAGAAGTTCATATTTATTATTCTTTTGAAATATCAAACATGTTTTTTTAAAAATTATTTAGAGCATGTTAAATGTTTAACAGCTGAGGAAAGTAGTGCGGAATGTACAGTAATATGTCATAGAGTTAGCAAAATGTTAACAAAGTAGAATTTTGACTTCCATACAAAATACTAATTCATTATAATTACAGTATACCAATTGGCAACAAATAAAAAAAGCAAAGATTGTTTAACTATATGGCAAATAACTGGAACAAGATGCCAAAAATAAGTTTTTGGGAATTAAAAATGATAGCATTTCTTAGGCATAATGGACCTTTAAGTTTCCAAGAATATAATTTTTTAACAATAGGAGTATATTATCAATTGATCACACACATCTATATTACCTGTAAGACAAATTTGATAAAATAACAAAGAAAGCAATGTTTGTTCAAACTCAACATATATCATATATTAATCCAATTCTGTTGCAAAAATGTAAGCTTATTTCATACTATCCCCTTTTCACTTCTCGATCAAGTCAAGTGTTTTATGTATATGTTATTTTCAGTCCTCGCTCTTCCCTAGTCATGCATCAAGAGACGAGAGTGCAAGAAATGAAGAGAAAAAAGGTGTAATAGAATTTCATGTGATTGGAAACTCTCTTAGTAGGAAACCTAGTCGACAGCTCCTGATATGGCTTATAGGTAGATGTGTTATTATTTATAATGATTTTAGAGATAACTTGTCAATGGTGACCATTTGTTACGACTAACTGTTGCAAAATTACCGTTAGCTTTCATCATGATGGTTTTTTTACACCAACTCTTGGTGAAATGGTGAAAATACTGTACAAAATGTCCCGATAAGTGTATTTAGAACAATGGAGACTACCTATATTATCCAAAAGAACAAATAAGCCATAGTCTATGCATACATTTCTAAAGTAAAAGACAGAACATTGAAAAATCTCTGTCAGTTACTCATATTTTAGAAAATTTATAAAAAGAATAAAGGAGGTGAAACACACAAAACAAAGTGGGTCAGATTTCAGTATATTCATTAATGACTTTTGTTTCGGCTATTCAGTAACCTTCATTCAGAAATTAATAAACAGATACTGTCAAAATAAAAATAAAAGAAACTATGTTGGAATTTTAACTTAACATTTTTTTTTGATATCCTCACAATTATAGAAACAAAGTGTTTAGGAAATAAAAATCCTTTCTTTGATAATAGCTAATTTGTAAGGCACATGCCTCAGAAATAACGATTTTTTTTTCATTATATAAAAAAGAGGTAGTATGTGTTTTATGATGTTGTAATACTAGATAAAGAGCATGTAAGATGCTGAGCATCTGAAGAAAATAGTGTGTAATGTGAAATAACTTGTTATAAAAGTAGTAAAATGTGCACAAAGTGGTATTTTGACTTTCCATGCAAAATACTTTATCACTTTTTCTGCACTAAATGCCAAAATACAGAAGGAGCAAAAGATAGCTGAGCTATATTATTGCCAATGAGCAACTTTTTGTAAACTGTTACATGGCACCAAATAAAAAAGCTTTTAAGGAATGGAAATGATAACTTTTTAGGGTTAATTGGCGTTTAAGTTCCATTTTAAGTTGTTTTCGTAATGATTTATAAGTGAGATAATTTATTACAGGGATGCAGAATGTCTTCTCACATCAGCTTCCTAGGATGCCGAAAGAATACATTACAAGACTAGTATTTGACCCGTAAGTTGAAAACATAAAATTTTAACATCTTCATGCCTAATTTGACTTTAAAGCAGTATGCCTCCAGATTCATGCTAATAAAAATGTTGTGAAGTGAACAAAGAAAGTAATTTACACATTGCAAACGGCACTTACAATCCATGTTTATTACCAAACAGAAGTCAAAATATACATAGATACCGCTTACTGGGTTAATAACGCAGTAGAATTATAGTGATTGATACTGCAAAATCAGTCATTAATCACACATAACATGTAAATAATTAACTAAATATAGAATCTGTTTACTTTTCTAAAGATCTTCATACATTTTTCTAAATATTGTATTTCTTGAAATGTTTTTGTTCTGGAGGTGTGCAGCTTTAACCCTTACCTTGTAAAATGTTGAAAAGGTGTCTTAACGAACAAAACTATTCATCTTTTTTCAGTGCAGGCCATGATAAAATGGCACAGATTTAATCTTGGTCTGCACTGGTCACATGCTTAGATTCATTCACTGCCTACAGTTTAAGGCCTGTTATATGTTTTGTTGTTGTTTTATTTCAGAGGAATTCTCTTAATTCTAATATGTAAGATAAAAAATGATAATTTTTTTTATGCACATCCTTTGTTTTAATATTTTTAAGACTTGAGTGTTAAAAGCTTTAATTGATGTCAATTCAAGAGCAAAAAGGTTTGCTAAGATAACATATAGATATTGTATACATGTATTTGAAAAACAACATGGCAGCACGTAAATAAAAAATTAAAACTAAAAAAAAAACCAAAGGAGGCATATTCATATCTGTATTCTTCATAGATTTTTTTTCAGATTTTTGGACTACTCTTGACCTTTTTATCGTATCTATAGTTATATACATGCGATGTAACACAATCTGCGATGTGATATACATGTAGATTCTAAAATAGCCAGTGATGTAAGGGTGGAAAATGATATATTATATACATTAACGTTGCTTGACAAATATTATGACATTTTCATATGGATATGATGAAAAGAATGACTTTCATAGTGGTGATTGACCAATATTTGATACTAGAAAAAAATTTAAGGGAAAAGGTAAAAACAGCCTTTAAAAACTGCCCGATTACTTTTATACATTAAGCATTACCCATACATACTCATGGATATTTATAGGATTATTTTGTAAAATTGAAAACAAATATGCCAAACTATGAACTTATTTTTAATTTTACACATTCACCCACTGTTAATATCACTTTAACGAATCCCACAGATTGTTCTTTTACCAGAGTTAACTCTTTGTACAGATAAGTTTTGTTTGTACTTAATTTTGTCATTGACCATAAAAATGTTCTATTTTATCTCGACTAACTGGCAGGAAACACAAGTGTCTGGCATTGGTAAAGGATAATAACGTTATTGGTGGTATATGCTTTAGAATGTTCCCATCACAAGGGTTTACAGAGATTGTTTTCTGTGCTGTTACATCTAATGAACAAGTTAAGGTAAGAAGTTAGATTTACCTGTATTTAATCATTAAAAAAGTATTAATGGGTTTTAAGATCTAGTGGAATAGAAATTAAGAAAGAAAAAATATCCAAAAGATGTCCATCAAATCATAATGTGGAACAACTTAAGAGTTTAATAAAAAAAAAGTACTGACAGTTTTCAATTTTCACTGGCATTTTGCTAGTTTCCTCGTGTTAAATTTGAGGCGTTATTTTAGAAAGATTTGTCTTTCTATTTGTGAACGATTATATGCTGGTATTTTTAGATATCTGTTCAGGGAGGTACAGTCTGAGGAAATCTTTTTTTGGTATCTTATATATGCATAGGCAGTGGTTTTTCTTGTATTCCTGTTAATATTTCAAATAGTTATTGGGTCTTGGTATGGTAAAGCTCAAAAGCCACAGTTTGATCTTAAAGTGTCAATGTCAAAGAAGATATACATCCTAAGTGTATAATCAGATATTAAAATAAATTTATTCAAAATGTGATCTTTATAAGCATTTTATTAACAAACATAAATGTAAAAAATCCATTTGTTGGTATATTTTTACCCTTTTTCATGGGATACTTTTGGTCCTATGATAAAAATGAATTTTCTTGCTTGTTGACTTTACACTTGTTATACACAGTTAGTTTATTATTGTGTGGTCAAAAGGTTACAATCTTTTGAAGAAATTGTCTTGAATAATGTGTAACAGTATTTGTGAATAATGAGTAAAAATATTGTATGGGTAATTAACAGCAAACATGGTTTGTATTTCAGGGATATGGAACTCATCTGATGAATCATCTGAAGGATTATCACATTAAACACAACATTGTACATTTCCTCACATTTGCTGACGAGTTTGCCATCGGGTATTTCAAAAAACAGGTACTCTTGCTTAAAGATAAAGTTTGCTTGAATGTGTAATTTGAAATAACTGGTAATTGCTGTACTTTTTCTTTATTAATTTTGATGTGACTAGTTAACATTTTAGACTATATGCCACAACAGATTTTGCCCATATGACCAGTGTAAACCTAAATCAGCGGGCACATCATTCTCTTGAGGAGTAATTATTAGTTACTGGTTAGTTAACTAGAAAAGCCAGTTAGATGTATTGACTGCCAAGATATAACCAAAAATGTGTTGAAATTGGGGTAAATAAACAAACTAAATATAAATATGATACACAAGATCAACAAGGTAAGGGTTCTTTCAGTGAATGCAACCCCCAATAAAACCCCTGATATTGAATTCAACACTAAAAACTGGACAAATCCTGTAGGTTAAATTCTATAGATGAAGGAGAAGTATTGATTTACAAGTGTTTAAAGTTGATAAACAAAACTATAGTCACAGTGACTTATGTATGTTTTCTTTGACAGGGTTTCTCTAAGGACATTAAGCTACCAAAGTCAGCTTATCTAGGATATATCAAGGATTATGAAGGGGCAACACTTATGGGATGTGAACTTAACCCTAGAATCTGCTATACTGAGTTCTCAAAGACAATACGCAAACAAAAAGAGGTGAGATTGTCAGTAATTTAAGTAAATTGTAAATTCATGTTACAAAATATTTTTTATTTTTCAGATGTAATGTTTCAAGATCTGTTTTCCAAATTTGACAACCGTTATTGAATTATATACTTAATCCAATTACATGGCGAAAATTGCCAAACTGAAGAATATTATCAGTTATTTTGTATCATCTTAACTGCACAGCTTCACAGCAAACTGTATTTTTGCATTAAGATTTAAAATCTGCTTATAGTAATATATAAAAAGAGTTGATTGATAAAAAAAATAGATTTTTTGCTTAATTTGATATATGTATATATAATACAGTTAAGAGTTTTTTTCCACATTTTTGCCCTTAAAAACTACAAAAATAACCTGAACTCGAGAAAGAAAAAAAAACTATTGAAAAAAGACTGTTTGACAATGTTTATTAAGGAACTGTTCACATTTGTGAGAAACAAGGGGCAACTAATATTTCAGTTTGCAAGAATTTAAAAAAAAATGATCTGGTTCACTTAATCTGGCATCCATCTAACCTTTGTTAGTGATAAGATATTTGTAACTTTTTTTGTCCATTTTAGATTGTAAAGAAAATAATAGAACAGAAGCAAGAAAAGTTCACGAAGGTGTATCCAGGTTTGACGTGTTTTAAAGACGGAGTACGACATATTCCTATTGAGAGTATACCAGGTCTTCAAGACTGTGGCTGGAGACCTGCACCTGATAAACCGTATGTATTATTTGTTATGTGCATCTCTCTGTATTTGACACTTAAACCACCTTTTTTTCTTCAAAAATAAAAAGGTTTATTGTGGATATAAGTCACAAAGATTTTGAGAAATTATAAAGTTATTGCTGGTGCATGCATGGGTAAAAGTTTTAAGGTATTTTCGTGAATCTGAGGTTTTTTATACTCTGAAAAGCTTTCTTTCCTCTTTATAAAATCAATGAATTTAAAAATACTAATGCAAAATTCAGGGTTTTTACATTTATAACTTCTTTCCATGTGTATGGGGTTGTATATCATATACTTAACCTGTCTGATACGTTGTATACTCTGACATGGCAGATGTCGATATAATAATGCCATGTTGTGCATTTTTTCTTGGAAGGAACCTTTAATGGACTCTGATCAGCTCTACAACATCTTTAAAACAATTCTACAGCACTGCAAGGTAAAAATATCATTTTAAAGTAATATAACTATTTAAATGCATCTTTTGTTGATATTATAGGACCTGGAAAAATTCTTTTTAACTGTATCACTTTTTTCGTGTCTTAAGGTATGCATTTTGATTTTCTGATAACTGCTTTGGCATTGAATTACCAGTTTTAATAATTTTATCAGAGTTCTTTCCCTTTAACAGTTATATATCAGTAGTTGCATTAAAAGTGTTTGTCGAGTTTGAAGAGAAGTTCTCAATAAAATTCATACAGAAAACATTTAATTCAAATGACTGTTAGCCAAATTAGTGTAGAATTGTTATATAAAAAAATTTCCCTGTGTTTTACAGACTCATGCAAGTGCTTGGCCTTTCCTGAAACCAGTGGAGAAAGCTGAAGCCCCTGATATGACCATCAATTGTCAGTGTGATTTAAAACGCAACCAAAATTAAATGATCAGTCATTAATGTTTTCAGAACATATTTGTCAACCCTCTTTTAAAGGATAACTTTTGCATTACAAATGTCAAATGTGGAGCTTTAAGAAAAAAATATTTTTTGTAGATTTTATGTGTGTTTTGATTATAAATTGACTTTAAATCAATTGCAAATTCTATTTATAGATCTTAGAACAATGGGAGATCGTTTAAAGAACAGATACTACGTTCACAAGAAATTGTTCATGGCCGACATGATGAGAATCTTCACAAATTGTCGTTCTTACAACAAACCTGATACAGAGTATTATAAATGTGCCAACACCATGGAAAGATTCTTCAACAATAAACTCAAAGAATTTTCTCTGATTGACAGATGATAGATCATAAGGTTTCCTTTAACATCTGTTGTGGTTGAACCTGTTGGTGTAAGGTAATTTCAAAGGTCGTCAAGCTTGAAATTGGACTAGACTTAAAATAAGTCAACTAAGAACTTGAGAATAATCACGATTTCAAAAAGAAAAATGTCCTTAACTCAATCTATAATATATGTTAAGTTTTACATACAGGACAGAAATTTCATTCATTCACACAAGTTTTACTTGAAGTCATATTTAAGTTATTTGCTTTAGATTAAAAATATTTGGAACCTTACTTAAAAAGGAACATGTTGACTTTGAAATGTGTTAAGTTTGATGGAGGGTGCAAGTTTGACAAAGTTAAACTATAAAGAGATGAAAGTTTAATTTGAAATTGTATCAAGTTTGATAACACTGACGATAATTACTGATGCTTTAGACCTCTGATTTAAGTCAAATATTAATTAACTGTTGATGATTCAAGCTGAAACTTCAGAAGTGTTGATGTTGAGAAGAAAAGTGGAAGTGATTGAAATTGAGACAGTGGAGTGCGAAAAATATATGCACACGTCTCCAGAAAGAAAAAGGAGGGAGAAAAGTATGATAGCTTTTTCTATCAGGGTATTTATATGGGTACATCTAAATGCTGTAAAAATGATTGTTATTACAATGTATATTCAGTAGTCGAAGATACAGAAAAAGAATGCGTAGGGTTTATCTAATAAGACACTTTTCTACACAACATAAATTTTGGTGATAAAAATGTGAAATGGAAATGTATTGTTTCCTTTGTTAAAGTTTATTATTCATGACTTCTACAAGATGTTATGCATTTTCAATATAATTTGAACTATGATATTAATGTACATATATTTATTTTTTATCATTTTAATTATCTTTTAAAAAAGCCTGTCTCTGAAAGAAAAGCAAAAATATATACATTTAATGTAGAGAGGAATGCGGGAAATATTTGTGTTATAAATATTGTACTGATATCAAAGTAAATTGATTAATAGTGAATTAAACAAAATGACAAAATGCTAGTTTTTGAATTAACTATGTACCAGCTTGAACTGAAAGTGATAAGTCTATGCCACTAGTACAGAGCAAAGCATGCACATATTTGCAGTCTGGCCAGGCTTTGTTTAACTGATATCTTAATAGCTTAACATCTTTTGTTGTGTATATTTTTGTATTGAAATCAACGGGATTTATATTGATTGACGGTTCTAGATACAAAGCAAGATAAGTCATATATACAAATTCAGCATGAAATGGGTTAAAGATAAAAAGGAAACATTTGTAAGATGACTGAATTTAAGATGAATGCAAATTAAATTTATATTTACACAGCATTTATAGTTTCTAAACCAATAGAAGCAGTGAATGATAAAGAAGATTGATTTAAAGAAATGATCACACAAACATGAACTAGAATTGTTTAAAAACAAAAAGTATGTATGAAACTATTACTTAGGGAATACATTAGTACAAGACAATATCAAGAATTTCATTAAAGAATCGTGTAAATTTCCTGTGTATAGAAATATGTATTATGTACGATTTTTACTGAAAAAAAAACCAACAACCTCACAACCATATCACAGTTGTTTTAGTATGTTAAATACATTTTACCCTTTTTTAATGTACATGTATGTACTTCGTATATGGATGTGGCAAAAATAAAGAATAAACTTTTTACTTGTGTTATGCTACAGAAATTAAAAGATAAATGTTTTCGGTTCAACTTCATGTTGTAAATGTATGCCTAGATTAGACCACTTAAACTTTACATACGTTTACAGTGTTACAATTGAAGGTCACTGACCAAGATCCATGACGTAAGTGTGATTTTTATTGATTATTACCCTTTCTGAAATAAGACTTTTGCAACCGGCACAAATTCCCCCATTGGTTTACCTCAACTATTTGAGGATATATAGGGCTATCCTACTCACTCAAGCCTCGGTGTAACACTTTGGTTAAAGTTTTGCATGCAACATATTTCATTAACCACTAATGATATTTGAGAGCATAATAGGTATACATAATTTTGACAGAATTATTCTCCCTTTTTAACTTGAAAAATTCAGGGTTTCATGTTATTCTGACACTGATTTTGAGTGAAACTTTCCAAGGTCATTATTCTGACATTGATTTTGAGTGAACTGTGAAGTCAAAATACTTCTTTCAATTTTATTTTTATTTGCATGAACGATAAATAACTAATGTGGCCAAAGGACATTTCTGCAAAATTTCATGGGACTTTACCTGAAATGTTTACTTGTTCAAACGAGTGGGCAGTATTTTTTATACTTTTGGCAGATTTATATTTTAACTTAAAGATGTCAAATCAACTCTTGGTCATCACCAACATAACAGTCAATCTTTGAAATATAAAGTCTATTCAGCTTAACTTGACAATGACAAAAATGAGTATATTGTCACTTGAAACTGTTTAATATTAAAAAATGCCCAGTGGTAGAATACAAATACCGATACTTTGAACACTTGCTGTTCATGATTTGTCGGACAACTTTTAAATTTCATGACGACATTCGAGTATTGAAACAATTTTATGATTACGGTTGATAGAGTTAAGATTTTATTGCCCTATTTAGCGTTTTTAATTTTCTACTTTTCAAAAAAAGAAGAATTTATCCAACGGACCACATGATCGTACGTGCACGTAATTTTGTAGCACTGACGATTAGTGATATTGCAAAGTTTACCTCTTTGTATACATTGATTATTAAGAATATTTTGTTTTACAAGTCGTGCAGTATGTAATTTTCAAAGGAAATGAAATACGTCTTAACAAGTGATTATACAATGTATTGCTTTTATTACTGTTTATTAATACTGATTAATGATGTATTTCCATCGACCCTGACATGGTCATATCACGTTATTCCAGTCTAACCGATGGTGCTTTTTCTTGCATTATTTCTGGCACGAATGGGCTCCAGAAAAAAGCTACCCACACTCTGTTAGTTAGATGGCTCATAGCTTCGATGGCTGTATTGAAACATAGCGTTGAGGGGCAAGTTACTACAAGGTCATTAAGGTTATCAACGTTGATAGTAATAATCATTATATCTATATCAAAATGCTTAATCAATGCAGACAGTTCGAATCCTGCCAGGTACGTTCAATTTGTTCACGTAAGGAAACTATTCAGATAACTTAAATAAGATATATGTGACTCCACCTGGGTTCCAAATTGTACATGTATGACATAAAAGCCAACAAAAAACTTGAAACAAAAAAGCGGACACATAATAAATAAATGAATTGTATTTTCAGCAATGATTTTACCATTGAATAAATTATATCATATTTTTGTACTTAAGAAATATATAATGTTAGTTATGATGATATGATAACAGTTCAACTTAAGTTTGTTTGTTAATACGGCAAACTAGAATACTGTGATATAACTTCAAACTTACAGAAATTTTGTTAGCAACCTAACAAGAAACAACATATGCGCAAGTTAACATACTTTCTTACATCTAACTCAAACCCCGTCATTTAACTTGTAGAGGGAACTCTACATGTTCGACGCATACTTTCTTAGTAAATTACAAATATGAAATTTTGCCGCATTGTTTCTTTCTCTTTGTTGAAGAGAAAGCAAATAGCACTGTGAGGCTGCCCTTGGTTTGTCCGCTTGTTCCATACATTGACCGAGAAGATTGAGAGCTGTCTCCTTATGACCAAAGTTTCTTCCTGTAAAGGTAACCTTCACAAGGTTACTAAGTGCCAGTTGCTGATCTTGATGTCTTTGTAGATGACCGTATGTCTTGTATTGTAAAAAGTAGAGATAAGGGAGGGAATCAACAACAGCATGGTCCATCCAAGACTTTTCATTCATACTTCTATATGGCAAATCATCTTGAGTAGATCTCATCATTTCATACCGCAATTCTCGAGGCACACAATTTACTTCTGTCTGCATGAATATGACACAACATGATGTGATACTATTGATGCAATTTTCACTTAATTCACTGCATTTTCTCTGAAATTCCGCAGACCGACTTTCCCCTGGAAGTTCCCAGCAGCCACATACATGTTCAACAACAGTAGAATTATACCGACTTTTAGTTTGTCTCAGTATGAACTCTGCTCTATCCATATCACCTGCACAGTAGAACATAGAAGCTAGTTTAAGTCTGCCAGATGTGACATCTGAGTTCAAACCCAATGTAAGCCACTTTAGTGCTTCATATTGAACTGGATTATTCTGTCCAATACTTGATGACGCCATAATAAGACCTAGTGTAGAACAAAGAAATGGTGCCAGATAACGACTTGCAAGCTGTTCAAGTCTATTTCCCTCTACACTGTAGTATTTTAGCTTTAAGATAATTTGTTTGGGATTACATATGAGGCCATTTGACAAATAGTTGAAAATTAGTAATAGCCATCCGCTTATCTGTTTCATGAAGCTGATGAAAAGATTAGACGACCATTGTTCATATATTTCCAGTGAGGTTTGAAAACTACACGCAAAATGAACAATTGTACTCAGTTTGACTTGTAGTCTCTCGCTAATATTATCCATGCTTATTCGTAGTAAAAATCTACCATCGCTCTGTATTATGTCACATAATTTCTGTAAAACGTCTCGCTTCTCTTCAGCTGTAAATTGTCCGGCCATTAAGTTGTTATCAGAAATAATGAAATGCGGGCAATTTTCATTTTGAACACAGCTACGAAGTTCAAGCAAGCAGTATGATAAACATGTAAAAAGATTATCCCTTTTCCATATGTTTTGCTCTGTATTTTCTATACAATGTAATAAAACGGTTTTACACATAAAACTTGAAATAACTCTCACATTTTGTGCATTCACAAAGGATTTCAAAATTATTTTCATTAAAACATAGCATTGTAATTGCGTAATATTTAGATTAAACATCAAACATCTCTCTGGTAGAGAAGTAGATATTCTCCACTCTAATTCTGGATAAGTAGCAATCTTACTACTTGTGCCCACAACAAAACAAACACAGCTAGCTGAATATCTGACACATTCAGATGATAACCACCTCATAACACCGGGTCTTTCTAGAAATAGTGATACTGATTGAAGCTTTGAATCACAAGGGAAAGCAATTACAATGTCATTGTCGGAGTATCCATTATCTCCGGAGAAAGCATTTGATGGCCCGTGTCGCTCAACATTTTCTTCAATTAAAGGTGTTACTAATGTATTTCTTAATAATATTCTCCCAATGCTGTCTCTTATGTAATTTTCATCAGGAATGTTTGTCTCAAAAAGAGGTTCATCAGATTGAAGTAATTGTAGAAAACAATATCCTGGTGTTACATTTTCACCCTGTATCATAAGAAGATTTTTCTTATTTTGTTCCCACTCTGCCCAGTCTTGTATCACATTATAATCATAATCTACAAGTACCATATCAAGATCTGAATCAAGTTCTATAGTAGTGGTTCCTTCAGACTGACTCCCAAGATAATATTCAGTTTCGTTTATACCACATGATCTGCATGTAATCGTTGCTAAACTCTCACTCAGCATGAATATTCTTCTTCTTTTCATCACCATTTCCTCATTAACACCAACATCGTCTAATACCTCAGATAATTTCAGTGACAGAGTTTTACAATATTCAGGTGACTGAAACATCCTGTAATGATAATAAATATATTTCAATGTTAAAACATTAGGAACGAGTAAATGATAATATAGAATAACTTATGCTGTTACTTGATATTAAACGAGATATAAAGATATTAAAGTTTCCAGTGTTTTTCTGTTAAAAATGTGCAATGCTTTCTGTTTAAATTATCTTTGATATAACATGTTTGGTTTTATGGAAATCAAGAGAAAGTGCAAAAGATTGCATTATTTCATTGATAAAATAAACTGTATTTTCCTAAGGTACATGCTAAAAAGAAATCAATTGAAGAATGATAATATAAAAATTCTCATGAAATTTTATCTTTTTTACTTCCCTTTTCGGTTTCGAATAGATAAAAATAAATTCAATACATTTTACACCATTACACATCTCATTTCTATCAATCTCATATTGGAATGTTACAAATGTACAAAAATCGCATTATGTATCAATAACATTTCTTTGAACAGTTAACAAGTATCAATTAGAATATTTCTGAAAATTGATATTTAAAAACTGAAGGAACTGACCTAGGAGAAATACTTGCTTTACTTGCTGCAAAGATTTTTTTCTATATGAACGAATTTGTATTTTTAAACTTATTTTACATAATAAGTATATATACAGGTATACATAATTTTGCATATATATCCTAACAGGGACAAAGAGTTGCGATTGATATTATCGGTGTGCCATGTAATTAAAAAAATACAAAAAATATTCATGTACACTTTGATATGACATATGTTGATATTATTATGTTGTGTATTTTGCTAGAACCTGTAATGAATTCTGCTCCGTTCTACATCTTTGAAACAGATCTACAGCCATGTAAAAATTAACTAAAATTAACATTTTACCGTTTAATTGCATCTTTTCTTGGTTTAAAAGGAGCTGGTAAAACCTGTAGCAATATCATTTTTTCTATCTTTATCTATGCATTTTTAATTTCTAAAAACTCCAATTGTAGCAAATAACCAGTTTCAACAATTTCATCAGAGTTTTTTCCCTTTAATAGATATTGTTAAAAGTGTTCTTAATTAATATTTTTATACCAATCGGAAAAACTCGGCTATTATTCACAATAACCTTGGATATAACATAGATTGAAAGTAATTCTACCACGCGGTTAAACATGTAAAAATAAACAGAGGGTGTTATCTTTGAAATATATAACAAATGTATATATTTAACATCAAAGAAAAATGAAAACTATTCGGTACTATGATTGAAAATATATATGACAATCATAATCAATCTGAAATGTCCACTGATTTGGAGTCATATCCAAATCCAAATCATTGTCAATAGGAAGACATTATGCACTTTCGATTTCTATGACCATAATTATATAAAGTTACATAACACTGATGTTAATTTACTTTTTGAACTTAGAAAATTCTGGGTATGCAACACCAATCTTCAAAACCACTGAAGGTGTTCATTTGAAACTTAATTCATAACTGCGGGCTTTTAAGCCGAGGTCACTGTCCAAGGCCTGTAATTCTGGCATAGATTTTGATAGAATTATGGCCCTTTTTTAACTTAGTTAAAGTTTTGTATGCTCCCCTTGACTGAAAATTTATCTAGTTCTACAGATTCTTATACTTAAGTTAACAACCACAAAAGCTTTAAAGATAAACAGATAACTATATCTTAAATTGATTTCAAAGTGCTGCAACATCTCAATGGATTGAGATAGAGTCAAATGCTTTTCAGCGTTGGTTACACGTTACCTTATGATCAATCTGGGGTCATTTATAGCCTCTCACAAGTTCAAAATTTTCTTGGCGATGAGGGAGACTCCGCCCCCCTTCAAACCCCTCAACATTTCTCAAACAAAAACAAGTGTTGGGGCCTAAATAAGGCATTTTTTCACCATTTGAGACAACAAAAAAGGGGGGGTAAAAAATGCGTTAAAAGGCGTGTATATAACGTAATGGGTTAAGACACAATTTCAGGTAAAAAATTATTGAAAATAAAATAAAAATGTAGGCAATAATTCAATATATATTATTAGTTAGATGCACAGTAACTTACTTTTAAATGTTTTGAGATGTGTTTATGATAATAAATCTTTTCCGATGCTGATCCGTGAAATTTAAATTTTAAGCCTCAAACAGATTTTGAGTAAATGTATTGGTTTAAAGCAGCACGCCTCAAAAAGATATATGTCTTACATATATTTCAAAATCTCTCCTCAAAAGCAATATATAGTTGGAAGATTCCGAAATGACACTTTAAAATGTTCCTATTTTAACTCCGAAAACAGACAGTTCGCTTTCCCGCCAACGGGATATACCTTCTTTTGTAATATTTTGGACTTCTTTCATTTGGGTTTTTTCTAGTACCACGTGATGGTATATGACCAAGCGAGACTTCTCGGCTCTTTCCGTGAAATTTCGGATAAGAACCTCAAACACTATAGTAAAAATACACAGAACGATAAAGAATATCGATGTACGGTTTTTTCGAACCACTGTTATGACACTTGACCACGTCTAATTTATCTCTTCTATTTATTTTGGCTTCCGCAATAGTAACACAGTAGATTATGCAAAGAAGAAACACAATAAATTGACGCTTTTTTACCAGTGGTGACTTCCCACTTCAGACTTCACAGTGTGTACCTAATGTATAGTATATCAGAAAAGTGAAGTCTGAAGTTTGCAGCGTGAAGTTTGAAGCATGAAGTTTGAAGCGTGAAGTTTGAACACTGAAGTTTGAAGTGTGAAATTTGAAGTTTAAAGTGTGAGTTTAAAGTGTGAGGTCTGAAATTCAGAATTTCGTTTAATATATGAATGACGTAAGAGTATAAAGATTAGCAGTGCTAACAGCCAGATAGACTTTGAGTCTCTGTCTAAGTTTTTACTGAGTATCAATGGATTTTGTACTACATATTTATATTTATTCCTTAAAGTAAAGGTACATTTTAAAGGTTATGTGCCATCGATTTCTGGATTCTACATTTAAGGTCAACTGTACGAGGAGCATGGAGAAGTGTCCTACTCATACAAAGTCCCATATCATAATAATGTGACAAGGTTTATAATTATACTGTTTATATTGCCAGAATTACATGTATTTCTTCGTAAACATTGAATTTTACATATCTTTAACTTCTTTATTTCGTCAGGGATTTAATTCAAACTTCATAAGTTGATTGCTACCTATGTGATTGGATTTATAACTCTAGCTCCTGTATTTCCTTATTCTGAACTTGAAATTTATTCAAAATTGTTATATTTATTTAGCTTGACCTTTTTGAAGAATATAAAGCTAATGCTGCAGTCAGGTTATTAATGCTAATGCTGTTGCTGTCCTAACAATTTAACGTTGGTCATAATTATTTTACCACCATACGTACACAGTTTCCAAATAACACTCTGAATTGTAACTTAAAACGAACCAATGACGTACTGATGACCAGTAAACCACATGATCAATTATCAAGAAATATTAAATTTGAACTTGTGAATTTCACACTTTAAACTTAATACTTAAAACTTCACACTTCACTCTGCAAGCTTTAGACTTCACGCTTCATACTTTTCTTCACGCTTCAAACTTAACATTTCTTATATACTATAAATTATATACAAAACGTGAAGTGTGAAGTGGGAAATCACCACCGGTCTTTCGTACTTTTGCCGTTTGCTTACAATGGTTAGTTAATATTCTTATGTACATAGAACGTTATCTGTGTATAATTTTGAAATGACATTGAAAGTCTTACAATGTTATGTTCATCTTAGTATTGAAGATATACTCCAATAAAATAAAATATACTCCGTGAGTTTTTGTGCTCGCGCGTGTGTTTTTGTCATGGTAGAAATGAAAACAAATAATTGATAACCATTTTATATTGTTTCACTGACAGATATGTGCTATAGTTTCCCTTTCTCCTTTTTATCTGTTCACGTTTTATCATTTTTTTTCTGGTTAGAAAATTTCATCCTTAATTTTTTAATTAGCCGGTACTTATCTTACTATATTTTTCACGAAACACAGATTCTGAAACTTTTCTAATTGATGAATTCAATTTTCCACTTTTTTCTATAATAATAAGTAATCTCTCCCTAATATGGCGTTCTTTTTCCAATCAGTAGAACGATAAAATAAGCATTATTTTTACTATTGTATTTATACTTTTGACATTTGTCACTTTTTCTTTTTATATTGTTATCCATCCTATAGAGTTCAGATTGTTAGGGTTATCTAGTATGTATACTCAGGCTTAGTCTGTATTGCTGTCTTGTATAAAATAGTGTTACCTGCTTGTATATCCAAATGATTAATTGCCTAAATTCATGCAGGGTGGCAATTGGATTATTCAATCGTGTGGCAATAAGTTCAGAACATATCTGTTTTTCTCCGGGGCAATTCGTATTCTTTTGACATAATTACTTGGGCTGATATTTCGCTAATTATACATATGGCTTATTCTGATCTGTTCACTTTTATATAAGGGACTAAATCATTTAAATATCACTAACAGTTATACAACCTACTGAATGACCACCTTTGACATAAACAGTTGGCAATGTGAACTATTTTAAGATCAAATCTTATTTTTAAAGATAGTTTTTTTGCGGAGATGTAGAAATGGATCCTGGTTCTGATAGTGTAATATCATCTAAAACCGGCTTTTCCATATTTCGCCAAAATAAAATTAATTGCGTTGCTGATAATTGGCTAGACTACGACATTTTATGCTACATAGAAACTCACTTAAGTAATAATGTCATTTAATTTTCAATTTCTCTAGACGGATATTGTCATTTGTATAAAAAAAGACTGTAATTCATATTCTGGCGGAATACTGATATGTATCTGATAGACTTATTTCAAAATAACTGAATGATCTTGAAGCCTTTTTTAAAGAATCTGTTTAGGTTGAAATAAGAAAATCACAAGAAAGAATTCTGATATGTACAACATATTGACCTCCAAGCTATATTAATGATTACTAGAGTAAAATGACCATGTGTATAGTAAAAGCATCT